GCAGCCCTCCCGCAGCACAGCCCCCGCTGACAAGCGCTGGGAGAAGGAAAGTCGGCGCTTCTTCCCTTCCGTGCCCCGAAGCACTAAAGGGCCCACCCTGCTCTGAGGGCTCATTCAGAAATTCTTAATTACTTTGGTGATTGGTTGGGGGGTATTTTTGTTTGAGGGGTTTCTTTTTTTTGTTTTTTTTTGCACTGCTCTGTACGGAATTGCAGAGTGCAATGATTTTGCTGGTTACACACATTACTTTAATGCAGGCTCTGATTCTTTTTCCATAACAGACAAAGTTCCTTAGTGTGGGTAGAGGCAGTGTCCTTTCTCTTAAAAAAAAATATTTATTTTTGGGGACTGTGCAGGAGCTTCCTTTTCAAGCCACACTCCATCCAAAACACCACGCCTCAGGTCATTTGCCTGCACAGCGCTCCAGTCACAGTACATCTTGCTCTGTCCTTGCATGTATTCTTCTTCCATCTCCTGATCTTACAAGCACATATCCTTTGCACCTGCCTTTAGATCACCACACACCCTGTGTCTGGAACCAGTCCAACTCTTAAAACCTGTAGAAACGTCTTTTCCTCATCATAGCCCCTTTTGGTTGTTATTACTTCCAATAATTTTCTGCTTGCATCAATCCCTAACTTGTTCACTTTTTACCTGAATTAGACGGCAGCCTCTGCACGGCAGATTTGAGTGGTGTATAGGCTTGAATCTGACTGCAGCGGGCTGAGCACCCAGTCCTATTAAAAGGAAAAACAGGTGTTGAGGACTGTGGCATGAACCCTGCACAAGGATGCATCCTGTTGAATACTGCCTGTATTAGGAGCTGCATATCACTGCGTCATAAACTAGATACACACTGGAAAAGCTGTTACCAGAGTGTACAGACTAACGTGACATAGTCTGATCAGGGAGTTTAGGCTTAACTTTGGCTCTGTGCTCTGGTTATGAATAGACATTGTATCAAAGTTTTACATTCAGTGTTGCCATTCTCAGAACAACCACTGAGATAGTATTTTTGCAGAGACTATAATAGTTTTTATGCAACTGCTTAATACAACCAAGAGAACAACTTAATTTTTCCTAGAGCTATGATGACTCCTCCCCAAGACTGATGATAAAATTTAAAGACAAACTTTCCAAGTCCTTGCTCCAGCTGTGAAAGAAGACACTGTTGAGAAAGAAGAGGATCTAAACTGAGAAGAGTAATTCCGATAGAAGTCCAGGGTAATTTCAGATGTGAAATAGGGAGTGTAGAATAAAAGTTCAGTGATACACAAGAATATTTTCAACTTTAATGAAGGTGGAAACCAAGTGTCTTTGCATGTTGAGCACTCGGAACAAGTGAGACAGGAGCAGTGTCAGATGATGCCGTGGCTCCTACTGGACTGATGCAGTTTGGGAGTCGACACTGTTCTATGCAATAGACAAACATCAGATCCCTGCTGCAGGGCTGAATGTGTCACACGCTCCAACGTCAGAAGAGCCCTTTCCAAGACTCTTTCTGTTAACCACTGCTGTAGGTGTTTCAAGACATTTTTGAAACTGCACATAGTATCAGACAAAGGAAGACGAGACAAGCAAATTTTGTACTTTTTCTGTCTTTCAGCAACTGGAACATATCTTCCCAAACCAGCTCTGCCAGCTCCTTTCCAACTCCTGCTTCCTTCATGCTACCACAGCAAAGAGGAGGTAGTCAGCAAATGTGTACTCCAGTATTGTTCTTCTGACTTCCCTAGAGAATGTTGGGGTTTTTCAAATCTGTTTCAAAGGGATTTCATTATGGTTGAGAAGGTTAATGGATTTCAAACAAATAAAAGAAAAATAGTGATTCTTCTTGAAAAATCTAAACCTACCCGGAAAAGAATTCTGAAAAAAAAGCTAAGGAAGAATAATGGCACTTTTAGAAGTACCATGTGCAACTTCATAATAATTATACCTTCATGGGCAACCTTCCCAAATTAAAACTGTGAATCCAATTAGTGGAAAGAATTCAGCAAAGCAAACCAAAGCTATTTACAAATGAACAAACCAAGCATACCAGTGTTTTTACTCCCTAGGACTTGCCATGAACCTTGAATCATCCACCTAATGTACACAGTGGAGCTGATGCTTAAAGTTGTTTTTGTTTCACGCTTATGGTGGGTGCAAAGCCACAAATTAAAAAAGAAAAGCATGAGACAGATAAAAATCATTCTAAGCAATCCCTTATCAGCATCTTTGTAACAAAAAAAACCACCCCATGGTGGGTTGTGGAAACAATGTGACAAACATAAGAAAAGACTGTATGAACAGAGACCTTTTTGCACAAACCCACTTACTATGAATTTAAGGAGCATCCCTTGAAGTTACAGAAAAGGGTAGAAGCTTTCTGAGCCAAAACCATTTTGACAAGGTATTTAATCTTTTTTTTCTTAGATGCTTTTAAGTGACTATATATCCTGATAGAGTGGTCAGTAGTATTTATTTCCTCTCTCCTTCTCACATTGTGATCTTAGTGTAGCTGCCTCTGAATACAGAGAAAATTATTCCTCCTCACTCATCCACCTGTGCCTAAGAATTCCTTCTGTATCTGAATGTCTGGCACCTGGCTGCTTCTGTCCCACTGGTAAAACTGCTTCAGAATGAACTGAGCTGTCAGTGGTGCTGTCACAGGGATGTTCTAGGCATGGAAGTCCCCAGTTCACAGACTTGTTACCTCACAGGGGTAACGCTCATGTCCTTGGGGACGTACACCAGGGCAAACAGGAAGCAGAGATGTTGAATAAATGAGAGCTCTCTGGAAGCTCGTTATTTTCTGCCATAACTGCACTTTAAATTGAGAAGTATGGCACACAGAACTTTCTTTTTTTTCTTCCTTATTTCTTAAAAATAGTCACCATACTTGAGTTTTTCAGGGACCTCCCCACTCTGATGGATGCACATATACCTCCTATTTATAGCTTACCTGACTTCAACCAACCAACCCTGTGTAGATACCTGTATTTTGTATGATTCTTCGGTAGAAAAAAATTTTTATTTTAATCAATGCTTCTGGCAATGACTATTGTTGCAGCATAGAATGAGATGACAAAAGCCTTTTGTTTTCCTAACTGCTGTGTGTATGTAAAAGGCTGCCTGGGATATACTGTAAGATTTCTGTTTGTTCATAATAAAATGGAGTTATCATGAATTAAACTGTATTATTTTCAGAATGAAAGGAACTATTTTAAAAGCCAAAATAGCCTCAAGGTAAACAAAAATGGGTTAAGATTGTGTTTGGTATCCAGACACATACCTGATGCACACCTGCCCTATCTGATCCCTTGTTTCCCTCTGCTGATCTCCCAGCTGTAGTAGGTGTTCACTCCTTCAAGAGATGGCTAAAACAGTCTTCCAGGCTTCCTCCTGTGACACAGACACCTGGACCCTTCTTCAGTGCACATTTTCAGGACTCCATGGGATTTTTACAGAATAGTCAATGTTCCCAGCACACTTTTAAGCCCAAGACTCTATCCACTTTGCTGAGACATAATTTATTTTCTGACATGTTCTCCCCACAGCTCAGCAAATCTTCCTGCTCCTGCAGTGCCCCACAAGGGCCTTGACCATGTCTCTACCATGAAGAAACATGCCCTGGCCCAGCAATGGCCTGAGGCACACGCACCTGGAGTACACCTCATGGCTGCTGGTGCAGGGACCTCTGCTGTAGCCACTGACACACCCACACTCCCAGGGGCTGCTGCAGGAGTCCATTTCTGCCTCTGCCCCAACACCCACCCTTTCAGTTCTGCCTGGGCTTGCAACCAAACACAGTTCCCATCAGGGTGCAGCTTCACTAGAGAAGACCTATCACCTTACATCAGGGTAGCACAGGAACTGAAAATCTGGCCAACCCCAATGTTTAAAGCATATGTCAGAAATAAAGCCATAAAAAATGTAATAACCTAGACAATGTAACACAAAAGCCAACAGCACATCCCCAAGATGCTGCCTTTCACTTGGACAAGACTGCTTCATGGGACATGAGCTAACCTGTGTGTTTCAAACTTCGTGGCACCATGAAAAAAAAAATCACCTTGTTGCTACCACGCTGCACGAGGGTGTGTTGCCACGTTTTGATGACAGATGTTGTAGACAAGCACAGTACAGCACTATATGCAAATTGAACGTGACCCCAAGGATCCTGCCAACTTGCTGGTTTAGCTCTTGTTTTGACATTTCAGTTGTCTCAGTTACATTACTAAAGAGTCATGGAAAAAAACAAGGAAAAATACTAGTTAAAGGTTACACTAACTTTTAGCTCATCAACAAAGAACAACTTCCCAGCCTTAAGTTACTCCCAAGAGCACAGATCAATAAAACTTTATTCACATAGTCATTTACCATCATTTTTAAAAACATATTTTCCCTCATATTCTCAAAGCAATTGATGTGGCCCTTTTAATGCCACATCTTTTCCATGGCCTTGGTCACCATGTCCCTGCCCTATTCAGCAAGGGGTTCACATATTCCCAGTCTTCTTTTTGCTGCTTGAGTACTTCTAGAAGCTCTTCTTGTTGCCTTTGACATCCCTTAACAGATTCAGCTCCAGGTGGGCTTTGCCTTTCCCACCTTTATCTTGGACAGCATTGCTCTTTTCCTCCCAGATTACCTGTCCGTGCTTCCACTTTCTGAATGTTTCCTTTTTTGTTCCAGTTTTGCCAGGAGCAACTTGTTCATCCCTGAAGGCTTCATGGCATTTTTGCATGGCTTCCTGCTCCTTGGGATGGGCTGTTCTTCAGTTTATAGGAGGTGATCCTTGACTATTAAAGAAATTTCCTAGACCCCTTTTCCGTCTAGGGCCCTATCCCATGAGACTCTTTTAAGTAGACCCCTGAAGAGGTCAAAGTCTGCTCTCCTGTTTATTTCATTAAACATAGTTGAATGCAACATGTATTTTAGTTTTCTGTTATTTTCTTTCTGAAATTCTCCTATGGCCCAGGAAGTTCCCAGCCCAGCCCCACACATCAGCAGTTTGCTGCCTTGATATTTTTTCTCCTATTTTATTCCACTTGATTGTGGAGCTGTCTTCCTCTGCTCCAGGATTTCTTGACAACTTTTGTACACTTCTATCAAGCAGTCCAGACGCGGCTTGGAGCTCTAGAATTTAAGTCAAACAATGGAGAATCAGGCTTTGAGCTGGCTGTAAAAGAGCTGGAAAGCTTTCAGTTCCCACTAGTGAGATGGCTCAGGCAGAGAAAGGAACATGGGGACAGCTGACAAAGCTGGCTGTCAAAAGCGTGCAGGTGTAGGAAACACGGCCAGGTGTCTGCAGTTGGTTAGCTTCCTCACGGGGAGTCAGTGGAGAACAGATCTCCCTTTTACATGTTCCTTGGGAAATAACCCATCAAGCTCCAGGAGGTGCCTGATGTAAGCTGATGATACAGGCATGCAAAGCCATTCCATAAGCCACACCTGCTTTGTGATGAAAAACACCAGTCCCTAAAACTGTCAGGTCAAAACATGTGGCCCCATACTGCAGTTAGCCCAAATCTCTCACCACACCAGAAATCCTACCCTTTCTCAGCTCACGGCTGACTGTGGAAGAACAGCCACACCTCCCAGCCCATTAACCTACCTATTTGGCCACTCTCCCTCTATCGACCTACCAACCAGCAGATCTCCATACACTAACCCACCATCCTAGAAGACCTCCTCCCTCCAAAATCTACCTTCAGGACAGGGAATTTAGGAACTTGGCCCTTGGCCTCTTCTAATACTGTCAACAAAAGGACAATGGAGGGTTAACTGAAAACATCAGTTCATTGGTGGTCAAAGTGTAACGATGTTCCATTGGTTCTAACCTGGACCAGCTTAACACCAGCGAGGAGGTGAAAGTTTCCCAGTCCCCCAGTCCCTATGGTCCCATGACACTTGAGCTCCCAAAACAGCATTACTGTGTAAAGTCCATCAAATGCCTCTCCTTGCAAGTGTTGCTTAAGAGAACAATAGGTCAATTCAGTGCAGAAGTGCTCCTGGGCTCAGTGACATGGTCAGTTGTATTTTTGAAGGCATTCTGACATAACTCAGAGGAACCCAGTGAAGGAGACACAATAAAGTTACAAATTACTGCTCCTTCACAACTAAGTAACATACTAACTTGCATGTTAAAGTGAGAATTACTGACAGGTAAGGGACTGCAAACTGACACAGCTCTTTCTGTACCTCCTCTGCTGGTGGAGTCAACTCTACCAGTACCGAGATATTTCCATGAAAATAAAACTGTTCACAGTTAAACTAGGGGAAAAAAAAGAAAAACCTACAAAAATGCCAGACAAGTTCTTTGAAGCTGGAAAGGAGCTCCTGATGGCAGCTCCCTGGAATTCATTAGTTGTTGCTTTCCAGCAAATCCATTTTTTTCCTTTGACTACGTGTGAAATATTTAATTTGTATTATTGTTGGTAAACATCTTTACGATTGTAGGACTGTGTTTGCAGCAAGTATCAATGGGATATTCTATTTATACCCGTAAGTATTTAACTGAAGACTGTGTCCAGTCATCAACTGGATGCGGACTACAAAATGATGGTCACCACCAGCAGGTGAATTAAGAAGGAGGGAGAGGACTATAAACCTCAGCAGTCTAAGATGTGAGGTACCTCTGTGCTACCAACCACCACTCCAGGATTAGGGCATTGTTGTGACAGGCATGTACACGCAGAAAGAAAATCCATCCCCAAAATGGGATTCTGGAGAGTCAGAACAAGTTAACAAGAGAGGAGAAAGGGGACATGGGGTAATGGTGAAGCAAACAGGTTATTACACATTAAGCAAATTGCTCACAGCTTGTACTGTGATCTTTGTCAACGGGTGAGACAGGGGAAGTCATTCTAATGCCAAGAAGGTTTTTATGAGCGCTTCTGGCACAGAGCTGAGAGGCAGATCAGCTGCAGTACAGTGCCATAGTTATGGTGGCAACACTGAGCATCTGACTCCACAGAAAGCTGTAGGAGTCCTCAGCACCCTGCGTGAGCCAAAGCCTTCTAGTTAATGCAAGCTCCTGGCTGGGTTCACATTTACATAGCTCCCTGTTCTTTGAACGGAAGGCAGAGGAAACAAACATTGCTGGTACACAGTTCTGGGAGACTTCTAATCCCACCTGCCCTGGAGGCCCCACCAGGGAAAGGCAGCTGTAATCATCTACCTGCAGTGGAATAAAAACATGCTCAGACAGCTGGTGTGCACGCACAGAGCACAGACCTGGATTTCTCCACCGATCAGTCAAACTCACCTGAAAGAGTGGCACAACCTCAGATATTCCCTGAGGATCTCCAGGGTCCTGGAGGAGGATGCACAGGTAGTAGATAACTTTTTGCTGCAAGACAAACAGAAAGTGCATCGGTTTGAAAATGCTATCAAAGTGTCTGAAGTTATCACATAAAGAGGATCTGTTTCAACTTGCTGGGCTGAAGGCCAACCAACCCAGGCCACAGTCAAGCCCACCAATATACATTGATAGCCTTCCTCTCTTCACACAACAAAAATACAATTAACCTGTGGTTTTTTTCCTATTATCTTTTTAACCTGAAAAGAACATACACATGTTGGAAGGGTAAGGACTGCTTTTCTACAGGAGCTTTGCAGAAAAACCCAGCAACAGGAAAAATCATCTCTTGTGTTGTCTATCTTCTTATCTCTGTCTTGGCTACTTATGGAGTTGGGCATCAGGCTTTGTAAGCTTAGTACAAGACAAAGAACTAAACCCACCAGTTTAGTGTCAGTGTCGTTATCTAAAGGCCTGTTGTGGCTTTTTGAGGTTATTTGTTTGGCTTGAGTTCTTTAGAGGTGAGAAAGTAGATAAGAGAAAAAAAGGAATCTGAAAGCAAGCTCCTGATGTCAATACAGCTATGGGTGGTGCCGTGTTTAATTGCCCTGGGAAATCACGCTTGTGGCAATGTAGGGGATGTGAGTGTGCCCACGGGTGCAGAAGAAGACAGACTGTATATGATTGATTACCATATGGATGGCTTCATTGATAACCACATCCTTCACTTGACCCATCTCGATGAAGGTTGTGCTCTCCTTCCCAGAAGCGTAGGAGGAAGTCACCTGAATGCCAAGTGAGCCGATGACCAGCAGGGATTCCTGGTCAACCTTCACAAAGTGCAGGTATATAATCAGGCCAGTCAGGGTGATGACAATAGCAGCAGAAAGCACTATACTGTTCTGTAACACAAGCCAAGCAAAGACAGAGCTATGCTCTTACAACTGCTTTGAACACGGCTTTAGAGAAAGTAATACTGCACAGTAAACTATAATATCAAAGCAACAGTTACAAGGCAAGTTTACTTTGGTGGAGTCCTTTTATTCACTTGTCTGGCTGGTATATGTGTAATGAGATTGAAGTCAGGTTTCACAATATGGTTTCAAAGAATTGGGAGCTGAAACTGAAAACTGCTAGAAAATCCTATTGCCTTGCAAATTTAGTGCAGAAATCTCAACCAAAGTTACATAAATGACAGTGTATTATACAAATATCTGACAGAGGAGTGTCCTGAACTCTTCACTAGGGCTGAGGGTGGAGTCTCAGAGGGGAAGAAAAATCTTACTAGGAGAAAGCTCTGGCCTTGTGGTTTTTTTCTTAAGAACTGCAAGCCTAAACTTGCCCAAACCTTGCCTCTCTTCCTGCCTTAAGTACCAATTTCAAGATTTGCTTTCCCCTTCACTTTGTCTAAGTACCTCTTTTGAATGCTGCAATCGTAGGGTTGCTGTTATATAAAATAATATATGATTAAACTATAATCAACTGGAATTCAGCTGAAGACCTGGTAATAAATCCTAAAGGCCCGCAAGCTACAGCCTGTTTCTGGGCTATGTCTTAGAGAGCTCCAGGCTGCATACCCATGAATCAAAGATGTAACTGGCACTTCCTAAAGGACCAGAACTGCATGGCCCTACCACTCAAGCTGGGCTTGTCCTACCATGTGAGGTAAAGAAGCCATGGCCACATTCAAACAGAAGGGACACAGGACTTCTCTGAAAATGTCACCATGGAAGGAAAACCAGTCATGAATCACACACACTGAAATCCACAGAGAGAGACTTTCGGATCTGGTTTCGCGGCAGACAGGAAGGATTGCTGCCGCCTGCGCACAAGCCGCACGATGAGTACGTGTAGCACAAGGAGGACAGTGGATGGGGTGTATGCTTTTGCAACCAATAGAACCTGGACACGGCTGCCCTTACAGCTAGAGGAGCATGAACCATCTTTTCCCATCAGAAACCTGCCAGCTGACTCATGTCACAATCTCTGTCTTCAGGCCTTGGGAAAAGATTATTGAAAAAACTGAAGTGCAACAGGCACAGTCACATTGACCAGCTTCTTCCATCAGCTACTGAGTTCATTATGGATAGCTGGTCTGAGCCTACAAGCTGGTCCCTCCATGCCAGTGCCAGTCACAGATCAGAAACCTAAACAAATACATTTGGGTTTATCAGCAGCTTTTGAAATCTGTACTACCAAGGCCTTAGTGCCTCAGCTGCGAGACATGAGCAAGTAGATAACATTCATGGTGCAGTGCTCTCCAAGTCACTCGGGAAAATCCCTTTGGGGACTGACAATCACTCAGCTTCTTCAACGTATCCTGTATTCCAGATTCCCACAACTCCCCTCTCCAAGCAAGCCTGTTATCTGGACTCACAAGAAACCACTAAGGCATCACTCAACACCCAAACAAACATCGGCCCTACCTGGCAAGAGGCTACAAACCAATGGAGGCACCCGAGAAGCCACCGAGAAAGCGGGTGGGCCCCGACGCTGGCTAGCACATCTGCTCTCCTTCCCACCGCCTACTCATCACAATCTACCGCCTCGGCGTCGCCAGGCCGCGCAGGGGACCAGGCTCCTACCCACCGG